TCAATTCATAAAGTATTTTCAAATGTTGAACAAATGACTTTTCATAAAACCCAATCTGATTCATCTTTATTCTTATTAAATAATTTACCTAAATTATCAACATTGACCATTCATTTTTATCAGTCGGTAAATGACAGTTCTTTCAGTAAAGTTAAAGAAGAATTATCAAAATTAAAGAATATATTTTTTTATGAGGAAATACTACGCGATATGAAACATGTTATGTTAATGGCATTTGGTTTTTGGGTTAGTCGTGACGACATTAATACGTAAATACGCAACAGATCTTTTTTAAGTCAGTCAACTTTAGAAATATTGTTGAAGAATTATCAACTGTAAACCATAAATAAACACACTAGTGTCACTATCAGAAATAGGTTATTGATGGAGATACTTTCGTCTCGTTTACCTTTCGTTATAACTACTCTCACATCCATATAGTGTGCTTCGCTTACTACTTCATATGCAAGCTGCCAGTCAGTTGTATGTAAAAAAAGAAATGACGTTTCAATAATAAATACTAAAGTCTTGAAAATCTTGAACTTCAAACTTAGAATGAATATATACAATTTTATTTTATTTCGAAATAGCCATTAATCAATATAGTGCATTTTCTGAACAATTTTTGTGAGCAACATAGATCTCTTTCTTTATAATATCACCATACTCTAATCACTAAAAATTTATTAAGAAAAAGTATATCAAGATTGATATGATGTGGATAACGAACATGGCAAAGAAGTTCTTCTTGTTGAACGATTCTAACAGAGAATAAAATTTGAACAAATACTATTAATAACTTAAATTGATTAATGTAGTCTGTTTTATCAATGAATTGTGTCCATAGAGAATATTATCTTACTGTTTGATAAAGTTCAATGATCAACTAGCAAAGTCTAACTACTCCGTCCATCGGTCGTTCCACAAGACCCATAAAAGCTTTTTTTAATCTTTTAAAAAAATCCAAATGCTTCATTATTTTTTGCTCTTTCAATTGATTTTGTCACAACATCTTTAAAGTCAAAGGATAAATAAATTTCAAAACCAAATATAGAAAAAAGCCTTGACAAACCTTGCAAGCACTTTTGGGTGTGGGTGTGGGTGTGGGTAGGTGTGGATGTGGACTGTGCGTTGTGAGTGCATGGATGTGGGTAATGGCGATCATTTGATAATGCAGCCACATCCACACTCATCCTCCAAGCCTCTGCACTGTGACTGGGCCCTAGCTGAGGTTCTGAAAATTTCGAAAAAGGGTGTGGGTGTGGGTGGGTGTGGGTGTGTGGGTGTGGGTGTGGGTGGGTGTGGGTATGGGTGTGGGTGTGGGGGTTGATGTAG